GACTTGGTCGATGGATATTATCAATTGCTCATGAGAGCGAGTGATATTCCGCTGACAGCGGTAAGTACTTCGAGCGGGATGCTCTAGAAGTGGCTGGTGATGCTCCAAGAGCTGTCAAATGCACCAGCAACATTGAATCGCCTTGTGACGCAATTGTTAAGGCCCATCAAGCGTATATACAGACAAATTTTTGTCTACATTCGTGCGGGGCACGGGAGGACAGGAGTGGAAAACCACATCATCTATTTGAGAGCGGTGCTTGAGGGCATGCGCACGAATAAGTTGTATGCCAATGCCAATAAGTGCATCTTCGGCGCGGAAGAAATTCCCTTTTAAGGGTGCTTCATTGGGAAGTGTTGCCTTCAAAGCGAATCCCACTAAGGTCGAGGCCATTGTGGTCTCGCCAGTCCACAAGAAACAAAAGGACTTGCGCAGGTTGCTTGGCCTCATCAACTACTTGCACAAGTATAGCGCAAATTATGCTGAAATGGAACGGCCATTGTCTAATCTTCTTAAAAAGGATGAGGTATAGTGTTAGAAAGTGGCTTTTTTATTCTTCTGTAATGGTCTTTACCTCCGATCCAACTATTCTTCATACTACCATCGACTATGATTTCCACAAAAGAGACAGTCGTTTTCTGGCACCTGACCGCTCCACCTTCAGTTGGTGTCTTTACTTTCGTTTTCTTGGGCTTGTCCTGTGAATATGGGGGGCCATCGCACACCACAATGTCACTTGAGACATCTTTGACTTCTTCAACAGAAGCATATCCCCATTCTATTTCGTTCATCGTCATGCAGCTCTAACTAGCCCAGCACGACTTGTTGACGACATTCATCATATTCACCCAGTCTATGCTAAGCAGATAACGATTTAACCATGGCATACCTAGGATAATATCAGATTTATCATCAAGGTAGAGTATGACAAACTCATCCTCACCTCGGAAAGCCTTCATTGTCAAGCAAATACTCGCTTTGGCATCTTCATTCTAGATCTATTGGCTAAACGAATGATTATTTCTTCTTTCTCTTTGGGCAGGCTAACACCATGCCCAGTCATCACTTGCGCTCGAACAAAGTTGCTCGACGCACCAGTGTCAGTCAAAGCTCGTAGTGGTTTCTAACCATCTACTAATACTACTTGGACAAGCAAAATCGCACTTTGTCTGAAACTTTCTTCGCTCATAGTGGAAACTGTATGTGCATCATGCAAGTTAGGGCCAGAGTTCTGTGTATCCACAACATCCACAGTACTTTTCTCGGGCCCAGTTGGGAGTCCCGCCCCTACTGGACGTACCCGTTTTTTATCCTTGGGAGCGTTCGAATCGACGATCTTTATAGCGTCTGTGGTTATCCGAACGAGCACCCTGTGTCTGTTGCCGACTCGACAAAGCACTCTGCAGTTTCGGACAATATGACACGGTTTTCCACAACGGAAACAATTTCCGAGGAGGCTCATTTCCAGGTGTAGAAGTGTACGAGATGTCCATCGGCTCTGGACCACCATCACACATACCGGCATACCATGGTTCGAAGTCATTCAACTTGGCTTGCTTGATGCTGAACTCTTCTTACATCGCACGGTTGATGGCAGTATCCAGCGTTTTGGGATACTCACGAAACAAATGATTCCGGATTGAACCATCATTCAAGCCCGCCATGATTGTTACAACTTGCGCTGAAACGTCAATTGGCTCGTCGAGAATGCTCGATACCAAGTAGCGAGTACGTTATGTATACGAGTGCAGGTCGTGAAGACCTTAACGAAGCTTCAAATGCTCGGCACGGGTAAGGAGCTCACTTCAAAACCCTTCTTTATCTCGACTTTGAAGTGTTCGTAGCTAAGAAAGCAATTAAAAACGCCCATCTCTTCGCACGACCTGGACATTGCGAACAACTCTTCCTGCAAAGGTTCTCACAGCTGTCTTGCAGTGATAGCTCCATCCAACTCGACAAACCATCGTGAGATAGGCTCTTCTCTCCACCATGGTACAAAGCCACGGCATCCTTCTGTTCGAAGAAACAGGGGTTGCGACCTGCTTCTAATTCCATATTTTCATGTTGCGTGAAACTGACGGCAGCATTCTTCTGGTTATCCGGAGAAGACGACTGCAGTAAGCTGACTACTGCAGCTTCTCCAATCGCTCGAGTACCATCAACTCATGTGAAGACAAATGAGGAAACATCTCACCGTCATCACCTCGGTTTGCGGTACCGATGGACCGAGTGTTACCTTAACTCCTTCCATGTCGCTCGGACAAGGACAAGAATATGGCTAGTACGGGAATGCGCGACGTGCTCAACAGCCGCGTCGTCAAACCAAAATTAAGTGTCGTTGGAAAGACCGCTCGAAGTGCTACCAGGTGTAAGAGGGCGCTGTTCACAAACAGTCTCTCAAACGCAACACACATACTTATAAAACGAGAAAGCGATTCACGGCGAACGATCTACTAGCTTGGAGATTGCAAGCACGACGCGCTACGGCTCCGTTTTTGTCCTTCATCTTCATGGATACCGGTACTTCGGTCCTCACGATGATGCACAATTATTCAATAGTGTGGTGTGAATACAGTGTTCGAAACAATTGCACCAAATTGATTATCAGCTCGTCATTCGTACAATTTTAACCCGTTACACGCAAACTCTTTAAGTAAGAGTTCCATCTGTGCAATGTGACCAGGTTCCAATGAGGCTAGCAGCTTACGTGTCCCATGGACCTCTTTCTAAGGAGTCACATCGCCCCAGATACTACTCATGACACTTGCAGCGTTCCAAAATTAGAACAAGTACGAGTTAGCAGATCGCTATCCGCTTACTCCAAGAGTAATTATTGCCTTAACCCAAGGCTAATTAACTCTTCCGTTCAAATCCAAAACCGACTTTATTTATTTTTAAAGCCGCCTAATTTTAGATGTATAAAGTTTCCTAAGCATATATAGTAAAATCTAAATACATGCATGACTACTGGCTGGTACCGTATTCTTATTGGGGTGCAGTCACACCATGCCCATCTCGTGTGACACACACACGGGTACGTGTAACCCCGATAACACTTCATCATGCACTCTTTTTTGGGTAATGTACTGTGATATAGCCTAGTGTCACTATACGGAGAGAAAAGTGCACCATGACGTCACAGTGTAGGGTCACAATGCCTTAATACTTTGCTTTTGAAATGTATCTTGCAGAACACTTGTACAGAACTCTACAACAATATCATGGTCCCAAAAGTGACCACAACATGTTATATAGAGGCAGAGGTGGCACCAGTGCGCGTGCTGGTGTTCCCTCATGCAGGTGGTGTGTCGCATACGTTGGGCTTTGAGTGGTCGAAAAACTTTCGCGCCACCGGTTTAGACATAGAATTGTGGGGTGTCGATTGGACGTGGGCGGCCGAGGATGTGGTGCCAGACGCTTCCAAGCTTCTAGTCGCCATCTGCTCGCAGCTAAGCTGTAATTTCTTTAGTAAGCCTTTTGTACTTGTGGGCCACAGTCTTGGTGCACTCATGGCATTGGCATTGACGCACAATCTTCAACAACGCCAATACCCAACACCACGCCACATGTTCGTTCTAGGGACTGCTGGACCAGGCTGTTGGACATTGTTTAATGATAGCAAAGTGCTGCAGGATGATGCGGAGCTTCTGAAACTACTAGAGCAGTGGGGTGGCACGGACAAGCAGCTGCTTGAAATACCAGAGCAGCGTCAGAAGCTACTGACGGCGTTGCGTATCGATCTTAAATTGCACAATAGCCTCATACAGTGGTTAAATCAGCAGAAAACGTCGAAGGTTCGTAGCAATGTAACTGTGCTTGGTGGATCAGATGATACGTCTGCTTCAGTGAAATCATTACAAGCGTGGGAAAAAGTTTGCGCAGAAGGCTTTGAGCTGGATGTCGAAACGTTTTCAGGAGGCCATTTCTTTCTGACGAGTTCTGAGAGTCAAGAGGCAGTCTCTAAATGTATTACTACCAAATTAAAGCAAGTTTCCTCCATTGTTCTGCTGGAATCAAGTACGTTAATCAGCAGTTTAAACTCGAAAAATGATTCATATCCCTCGGAGAAATGCTTGCATGACTTATTTTACGAAGCAGCAAAGCGGACACCTGACGACATTGCAGTATATTACGAGGGAAAAACGTTGACATTTCGCGAATTAGACGACCAGAGCGAACGACTTGCTAACTTTTTGTTTCTCGCTGGCGTACGGACGAATTGCATTTCTGGGATCTTGATGGAGCATTGTATTGAGTTCGTGATCGCCTATATTGCAGCGTTAAAATCCGGCGGGGCCTACATGCCACTAGAAATCGTATATCCACCGGATCTTCTTGAGCGCGTAATAAAAGAATCCAAACCGACTATTGTCCTTACAAAGAAAAAGTTTAGGAACCGATTACCGACTTGGCAGCAAGCGCTGGAGATGGACAATGGCTGGCTTGAGCAACTTGCTCAGCAAATAGTCCCATTGATGCCTATCGACCGAACGAGTACCCACCCCGATGATTTAGCCTACGTGGTCATGTCATCTGGAACAACTGGTGTCCCAAAAGGAATTTGCTGCCCTCACCGTGGAGCTGTGCATTCTTACAATTGGCGTCTCACCCACTGTCCACTTGATGCAGACGACAGAGTGGCTTGCCATGTCTTTTTCGTGTGGGAACTGTTGCGCCCAATGCTTGGGAATCGACCGCTGTATATTATCCCCGACAATACGATCTACGACCCAATTAAGCTTGTAGAATTCCTCGCTATCCACCGTATCACGCGCATCCTCTTCACACCGTCGCTTTTGCAGCTAATTCTTGATACCTGCTCGCCAAACGATCTATTGCTAAAATTATCAAAATTGCGACTCGTGTGGCTTTGCGGTGAAGTGGTGACGCTAGAGTTACGTGATCGTTTCGTTCGTCTCTTCCCTAAATGCGAGTTGTACAACCTTTACAGCGTCTCCGAGTGTCACGACGTAAGCGCGGTGAATCTCACTGCTATGAGTGACTATGACTACTCGTTGTCTACCAAATATGCCTCTTGCGGGAAAGTTATGCCAAATGTGAAAGTATTCATACTAGATAATGACTTTGAACCCGTTTCCATCGGAGTGCCTGGAGAGCTGTATGTCGGTGGACCCTGTTTAGCTATTGGTTACCTTAATCGCCCGGAACAAACAGCGCAACGCTTTTTAAAGCATGTTGTGCTCGGAGAGACTGTTTACAGAACGGGAGATCGAGCTCGCTTTTTGCCAAATGGACATCTCGAACTCATTGGTCGCTGTGACTTTATGGTAAAAATTCGCGGGTATAGTGTCGTATTGGGTGCTGTCGAATCAGCTTTGGCGCAACATCCACTAGTGTCCACATCAGTCGTACTTACAGAAGGTGACGAGGGCGAGGACAAGCGTTTGGTTGCGTACATTGTACCCGAAGATTGGAAGAAACTGCCAAATGCTTCTACTTTACGCAAGTTTCTTGAGGGAATGCTTCCACCTTATGCTGTCCCACAACTATATGTGCAGCTTGATGCTCTTCCAATTAACAGCGCAAGCGGCAAGTTAGATCGCAAGCAGATGCCATCTATTGAAGAGGCCAAGAAACTGCGCAGCGAATCGATCGATTTAACAGTGGACTCAGTGAATTTGCCTCAGACAAACACCGAAAAGATGCTTGCAACGATCTGGCTGGAGCTGCTCCGTCTTGAGAATGATAGCGTATTACACCGTAAAGCAAGCTTTTTTGATGTGGGAGGGCACAGTTTGCTGTCGACTCGTCTGGTTTCATGTATTCGCGATACTTTTGGCGTTCACTTGACCCTCGCCGACATCCTCGTTTCGCCCGAGCTGTGCGCTATTGCGTCTCGAATTGATCACTCGCTAAAATATGAAGGCAGCGAAGTCAATGTGAAGGTTGCCGAAGTAAATAAGAAGATGGTTCTTCCGTTAGAATCTGTTTTAGATGCATCCATTTATCCCGCTGCCACGCGTAAAGCCGGTTACAGTCGCTACCGAGTAGAAATGGTGGGGTTGCCGCCGCGCAATTTGTTTTTGACTGGTGCGACGGGGTTTCTTGGTGCGCATCTACTCCATGCTTTGCTCAAATACTCGACGAGCGTCGTATTTTGCTTGGTTCGGGCTGCGGATGAAGACGCGGCACTGGGTCGCATCAATGATGCGCTTGAGAAGTTTGCACTCTTAGATGAAGCCCAGCATTTCCACATGGAAGACAGAGTGATTCCTGTTCCGGGCAATCTTGCGCAGCCTCTTTTCGGACTGAACGCCGATACATTTAAGATGCTGGCCACCGAAATCGATGCTATCGTGCATAATGGAGCTGAAGTAAACTTGGTAAAGCCGTACTCTGCCTTGAAAAGTGTCAACGTGTTAGGGACGCAAGAGGTATTGCGTCTTGCCGTGACAAACGGTTTGGCCAAGACCCGAGTCAAGCCTGTGCACTACATTTCAACCAACGGGGTGTTTCCATTGTCATTAGACGTACCCAAATTCGTTGAGACTGCCGACTTAAGCGAGCTGTCCGACCAACTTGATAATGGCTATGCGCAGAGCAAATGGGTGGCCGAACAAATGTGTCACGAGGCTGCTCATCGTGGTCTACCTGTGTCAATTTTACGACCGGGTAACATGGCACCATCCTCGTTTTGCGGCCAATGGAACACTAATGATTTTATCTATTTGCTGCTCAAAGGCTGCGCACGTTTGAATGCCGTGCCCGCTCGCTCCAACTGGTTCTTTGACATGACTCCAGTGGACTACGCAGCTCGTGCCATTGTGCACTTTACTGCGCTGCATTCAGCTGAGGCGCTGGGTCAGACGCTGCACATCCAGAATCCATCGCCTCCAATGGGAAGCGATGAGTTTTTTAACCTTTTCACGGCCGCTGTGACTAACAAACAGCTGGCAGTAGTCGAGTATTCAAAGTGGAAGCGCTGTTTGATCCAAGCCGCGAGCAAAACAGACGCCCCGATGGAAGTCATTAAGTTGGCCGCGGGTTTTGAGACATTTGAGCCTTACCTCTTGAGCAACAAGATTTTTGATTCTGCGCTTTCAGCGGAACTACTGCATGCCGCAGGAATTTCCTGTCCGACGATCAATCGTGCGCTACTTGCCATATATACGTCCAAGTGGTGAGTATTACAGATTATGCGTAGGGGGTCCAACTTTTGTTGCGACAGTTTTCATACAGTGGATGTTGTTGCAGCTACCAATCATATCCGTTAAATACTTCTCGATTTAGGAAATTTATTCTTATTTAAAAGAAAAATCACTGTTGCCGACCTCTAGCGCATTTGTGCATTGACCAGGATGACTGTAACGGGGTTACACGTACCCTGGTCACAGGGCATGACTGCACCCAAATAAGAATACGGTACGAGCCAGTAGTCATGCATGTATTTAAATTTTACTATATATGCTTACGAAAATTTATACATCTAGAATTAGGCGGCTTTGCCGCAGATAAAAATTAATAAAGTCGGTTTTGGATTTAAACGGAAGAGTTAATTAGCCTTGGGTCAAGGCAATAATCACTCTTGGAGTTAGCAGATTGCGATCCGCTAAACTCGTACTTGTATAGAGCGAAAGGTCGGCGACCTAACTTACGCTTCCTCAAAGCGCAAAGCTACGGCAGCTCCGCTGCAATGACCGTCAACACTTGCGACTAGAAATGTACTCGACGAGTGACTTTACGCTTTGGTATGGCTTATTGTTCGTGGACCCTGCCGGACGACGACGCTTTCTAGTCACTACCACCGGGTTGAAAAGCGACTGCAAATGGCGCCTGATTTGCCTAAACCAAACGTGTCATGACAACTGATACCTGACATTCGTCGGCCTCATACAACCTTTGCTCAAGGGTCATTGAAAAAAGCTTTCTTGAAGACGAACATAGTTCAGTAGCTGCAGCAATAGGCTGAACAACTGGTGAAATGGGCTACATTTACTTAGCTATTACATGCTTCTGTATGTATTGTGGGAATTAATGAAAAGCAGATTGCAGTATAGTGTTCCCATGTGCCTAAGTTACATCCTATATGAAGTCACTCACATTCTGTATGATACAGAATGCTGTCTTACTTGGATAAATGTACTGGTGAAGAGACCGACGTGTATCTGTCATTCAAGTGAGTTGCCACTTCTACTGATTTTTTCTACGAAAGTTGAAGTTCAAGCTTTTCAAAGTTCAAGCTCCGTACGACCAAAGTTCAAGCTGATGTACAACCTCAGTACACCCTTTATTGTATGAATCAGGAGCTCAAGGTTTTATCAGTAAAACCTATTGAAGCAATTGGGGTGTTTTGCATGTAACTAGGAGCCATTAACTCGAATTGATATAGTTGAAATACTTACCCTTAACGTCTTTTGTCCTTCCCCCTCCAGTTTTGGGACTGTCTTTCTCCCTCTACGTCAGGAATCGCCTTCTCATCGCACAAGCGTGTGTGTTATGTATGATAGACTGTCGTGAACAGCACTCTCTTATATCTGGAGGTGCCACCAATTACCACCGACGGTGAATTCGCCAATGTCGAATTCCCGATATCCTTTTATGCATCACTTGATCTCATGGCGGCACGGAATGCCAAATCTTGCTCGTGACAATACCAAGCATTCATTACCGTCATCTATGTCAAAAGAGTTATTGTACTGCTTCAGAGTCTTCTCCAATGCATATCTGATACCTTCTTTACCAGCAGCTTCATGAGCTCAACATCCTGGCTATGGGCCAAAGCAGTATTGTGAGACTCCATTTTGATATTCAATTTTGTAATCTGCGGATACAGAAGTAGACGAATCCTGTTAAATACCGTGAGTAGCTCGTTATTTACGATGTCCAGAATCCTTTTAACGACATAGAGGTCGCCCTTATTGGGCGAGGTTTTGGTGGTTTCAAAGGGGAAACAATCAGTCCAACATCGTAAGTACTTGTCTTTGTAAATGTGCCAAGTACCACGCACATATTGGACCAACGTATTTAGATTTGATCGCCGTTTGTGTTGTGAATGTGGCTCAGCTGTCTTCAATGCCTGCTCGTTGGAACAGTAGACAAGCAGGCCCCAGCCGTCCATAAATGCACTGGTGTCGTATGTGTTTACAAACGTTTTGTTTGCATCGACCAGAATGTTTTTGATGACATGCCATACGCAACACAAATCTTGCGCACAAGACAACACAACGCCTAGTGCAGTCATCAACACAACCTCTCGATCAGTGTCAACAATCGTGCCTTGGTCACAAGCTTGAATGACTGGAGCACCCAAACATACATGAGCTTTGTCTCGTTGCATATAAGCGTTAAGACGGTATCGGTAGCCGTAATCCAGACGACGTTGAGCAATGGTATACCTAATCAATTCGTTAAGTGGGTGCAATCCAGGACAAGCACATCGCTGAAACGCCTTGCATCTTATGCCGACTTCTCGTGACAAACAAAAAGGCCGCTCTTTTTTGCCGTTCAAAGCACCATTATATTGACGATAAAGTCTCCAGCACAAAATATTGAACAGTGCTTGGATCGGCGAGCGCCCCTCAGGAAACTCTATATTTTCGACCAGGTTTCCAGTTTTGTCTCTCGAAAAGGCCAGAGTTTGAGCTGTTCTAGTACCAGCATTCGCCTTGTCTCAAAGATGATTTTTTCTTTTCCAGTCAATCGCCCGGCAGTCGAGAAACCACTTATATTTTCGGAGGTTGGATGGTCGCGCATTATCTCTGTCTTTCTGATCGTCCATTGCCCCATTTTCTTGAAGATGTTTGCTCTGATGGAATAAAGACATTCCGTAAGACGACTCCCTGTTTGTCTTTTTCGTCTGTCAATCCCAAGGCCCGTCATGATAGCACTTGAAGGTGATTTCCGGTTTGCGCCAATACGACGATGACAGTTGAGTACGGGATAATAATATTATCCCGTACTCAACTGTCAGATAAACAAATATTATTTGTTTATCTCATTTTAGGAAATCTCGTTTCACTATTTAGGTTCTGCAACTATTCACAGCCCAAATACAAGTATACTATTCAATAATTATATATAGCTGGATTTCTCTTTAAAAAAAATATTTTCCTAATCCATGGATGAATTTCTGGAGGGGCAAATAGCCAAAATTGGGGGCAATAGTGCTTTCCTTGATTCAATTTATGCCTTACTTTCTTCAACCGCACTAGCGGCCATACTGCATCTCTCCACTTTGCACGCAAAGCTGTGTCCGCCATGTTTCCTCGCAACCTCAATCGACCAATTAACGGATCTGGGTCTCTACGTGCGATGTCAACCGCCACTCGCCTTTTCCGCAAGATTCTCGTGGCAAATCGTGGTGAAATTGCATTGCGCGTGTTACGCTCAGCTCAAAAGCTTAACATAGAGACCGTGGCCGTTTACAGTGATGTTGACGCCAATTCTCAGCATGTGAAGCTGGCCACCGAAGCCTATCGTTTAGGACCTGCGCCTGCAAGTGAGAGCTATCTAAATTATTCTAAGATACTGGAGGTCTGTCGCATTTCCGGGGCGGAGGCGATACATCCGGGCTACGGCTTTTTGTCTGAAAATGCGATTTTTGCCCGTGCTTGTCTTAAAGCGGGTGTCGAATTCATTGGTCCACCGGCTCAGGCCATAGAAGATATGGGCTCGAAGAGTGCGTCAAAAGATATCATGATCAAGGCCGGTGTCCCAGTAACTCCAGGATATCACGGTGAAGATCAAAGTCTTGCGACGTTACAGAATGAAGCGAAAAAGATTGGGTATCCTGTGCTCATCAAGGCTGTCTTTGGGGGTGGAGGCAAAGGGATGCGAATTGTTGATGAAGATAAAGACTTTCAAGATGCTTTGAACGCATGTGTGAGGGAGGGGAAGGCCTCTTTTGGAGACGGACGAGTGCTAATTGAAAAGTATTTGAGAGAGCCGAGACATGTGGAACTTCAGATCTTCGGAGACAAATATGGCAATGTCATTCATCTCTTTGAGCGTGATTGCAGTGTTCAAAGACGTCATCAAAAAGTATTAGAAGAAGCACCTGCAGTGAGTACCAATTTGATATTTTTTTTGTATCGGTCGTGTCTTTGATGACCAACTTGCGTAATGTTATCATAGCCCAATGTATCAGAGGCCTTGCGTCGGAAAATGGGAGATGCAGCTGTCGCTGCTGCCAAGGCCGTTGGCTATGTCGGTGCCGGAACGGTAGAGTTTCTCTTAGATGAAGACGAATCTTTTTATTTTATGGAAATGAACACGCGCCTACAAGTCGAGCACCCAGTTACTGAAATGATCACCAAGCTAGATCTAGTTGAGCTTCAGCTCAAAGTCGCAGCAGGTCAAGAGCTCCCGGTTCGACAGGAGGATCTAAAAATTCATGGTCATGCGATCGAAGCACGCATTTATGCAGAGAATCCTTACAAGTACGTTGATCGTTATCTTACACACTAAATGCGCCTGTTGACAACAATTTATAGGAACTTTCTTCCTGGAAGCGGAATATTGCAACATCTTCGTTTGCCTCGCACAACAAAAAACGTGCGTGTAGACACCAGCCTTGTTGAGCGCGATGAAGTATCAATTTTTTACGATCCAATGATAGCCAAACTCATCGTACATGGTGATAACCGTCAAGCTGCCTTGGATAGATTGACTAGAGCATTGCACGAATACCAAATTGTGGGTCTTCCTACGAATATAGAGTTTGTGATTCGCACAGCAGATCACGCCATGTTTCGCAAGGGTGGTGCTGATACGAGCTTTCTCGACAAGTTTGACGCCGATGTTCTTGGATCATTGGGAGCGTATCCGGCTTATACCAAGGCACTGGGAGCTGTAAGTTTGCTTCATTTGGAGCATAATGAATGTTTCACTGCTAGAACTAGTTATGATGAGCTGCAATCACCATGGTTGAGCGATTCCTTATCTCACTTCCGTTCGCTGGAAATGCTTGAAAGGAAATTTTCTATTGATCATGATGGGGGCTCGACTTTCATTTCAATGAAGTGCCTCTCGAAAAACACGTATCATGTGATGCTGAACAGTGATTCTGGTCAGGAAAACTACTTAGTCAGTGGGACGATTGACAAAAAAGGGGACTTCAAGTTCTGCGTGGGCAATCGGACTTTTAAAGGAACTGCTGTGATTCACCGGCAGAATCTCCACATCTTCTGCGACGATAGTAGCCAACGCTACGACTACAAATTTCACATCCCACTGCCCTCTTTTGAGCCAGCTGAGGGTGGATCAGGTGAAGCTGCGCACAGAGTGATTGCTGCACCTATGCCAGGTAAGATTGTATCGGTGTTGGTGAAAATCGGTGATATACTTGCAGCCGATCAGCCGTTGCTGATCATGGAATCCATGAAGATGGAACACACCATCCGAACACCAAAATCTGGAAAGGTGGTGCAGCTTTTTTGCGAGAAAGATAGCCTTGTTACGGACGGCCATGTGCTGGTGGAACTTGACTAGACTTGAAAAAGAGTCAAAAGTTTCTCTCATGATTTGGTCACGTAGTACTAATTCCTTCGCGTCCTGAATTGTCTTTGAGGATAATCCTTTTTGACTACCCGTAACAAACAAAACTCACTAAATTTGAATTTTCACTCTGTTTAATTCTCAGAACAATAATATTAGGGATATCAAGCCGCTTTAGCTAATTCAACCAATCCCATAACGTACTCTCTGGCAACTCACTAGCAAAGGCGATGAGATCATTGATCAACCATAAACTTGATTTGCTATCGCACGATTTGCGCAGGCGGATGAAATCCGTAGAATATCTTATTAGCTAATTGAATTTTCTTTTGCAGTATATTTGGAGAGTAAATCTAAAAAAATGCTGAGTATAAGCTGTCATGCTTCAAGCAGCTCCAGTCGCTGACGAATTCAGCAGGCAGTGTAGCGTCGCCAAATCCTCTACCAAAACAATTGAGTAGAACGAGTTCAGATTTTCAGTCGTGAACTCCTCAAAGTATGATTCTCGTCAGATCGACCGACGGGCCATGTTCAAGTATACAAGCCTTAGCTGTGCTTACTTGACTGTAGCAGAGTTGAAGCAGCGCAATGAATCTCATCACAAGCTCAGCATCATTGCCAAATAATTGTGCTTCCGCCGCACAAGTAAGTCCTTAGCTGACACGTCGATATCCATAGCGGTGTTATCATCACTAAAATATAATATTTGTCAAGATTTCTCCAGGTCTTGCTTGAGACACCTCGGAGCCAGGGCGCACTAGTTGTGGCTGCACATACCGTAGCCTGCTTGAGAAATAGGATTAAAAGAGATTGCACTGTGTCGCGCATCAAATCAAGCTCCACATACAAGCTCTATTACTGCTTCCACTTTTGAAAACTGTGACTAGTAATTGACGTAGACGCTGCATCACCAAATTCCGTGTTATCTATCCATACTCCCTGGATCAAATGTTATTGATTGCATGAAAAAAGTTTTGATCTCATAGATCAGCATTGTGGTCTCTATAGAGCACAACCTACAATGACCTTTATTAAAAGCTGCTATTTGTAACTCCATTTCTTGCCGATTGATAGACCTCACTTATGGCTATTTTATGACCAGTCTCAAAGTTGGCATTTAGTTATGGCGTACCCGTAATCTGCATTTTGAATGGTTCTTAAGTCCATTACATTGTTATCGTCTTTTCACAGCCCCGGAATTGAGCCTCACCCCTCTTTGACTGCAACGCGATGTGGCAAATTGGAAAGATTATGTACTTGTGAAATATATACTATGCATTCTGATGGGACCACGTGTTCTTGATCTTCCAATCCGGTCATAGAGAAACAGATGGAAGGCTAACGCTTTTTCCATATTGATAAAATTCCTTCTGGAATCTTCTAAAACCTTTTACAGTTTTACCTTGTAATTGAGCCGTTATCCTGGGTAACTCGGCATACCTTATACCATCAAGACATCACTTATCACATTCTCCCCCTGATGTCTTGTTTCATATCTCTTTTGGCCGTCTTGTGTTTGAGCAGTTCTTTTGTATAGCTCTCTGATCAATTCCTGGAAATGAGAAAGATGTTTCAGATTTTTCTCCGGTTCCCTGTTGCTTCATATTCTATATTTCGATGCCATCTCACCAAATATGCTTGCTTACGATTGACTCTTCGTTTCTTCAGTAATGCTACGACGATGAACAATTCTTCATTAGCGTCTCTATCGAGAATGATTGGTGTAGCTTTTGGTATTGGGTAGACTTTATGGTGTTTCCTTGAAATGTTTCAGTCTGTCCACGATAAAAACATGATGCATTATCAGCATCGACCTTGGCAACTTAAGCTCTCTGGCGTTCCCATTTATGACTTGAGTGATTTTAAATGGTCCAATGAAGCACGGTGCCAATTTTGGCTTCTCATTCTTGTCACTTGTCTAAGCATGTTTCAGTTGCAAGTTTCTGGTCGCTTGTAATAGCATATCTAAGTTTTAAAATGACGCTCGATCGTTTCTTGTCATAGTTAGCTTTCTATGGTTTGAGCTCCAGACTTTTTTGCGCAAGTTTAATTATCTTCTTGCGATGTTCTGCAAAATTCGAAGCGTTCTCGTTTGAGCTGATCAATTGGTTGACGACGGGATTTTTTGGATCTCTCCCTGTATCCACTCCGAAGGGCGAAATTCCTTGTGAAGTGTGCACCAAACTTTTGTGAGCATACTCGATCGTTGGCAGACGATCTACCCAGTCTTCTCCAAGTACGAGACTTGACAACTCAGTAAGTCCTCGAGTATTCCGTTTTGACGCTCCGTAGCTCCATCTGCTTGTGCTCTTCCAGATATCGTCATTTACCATGCCATTCATCAACTCTCTCCAAACGTTTGAAGTAAACCTTGGATCTCGATCACTTGTAATCACTGAAGTCTCACTACGTGATAAGAGAACTCTCTTGCAGCTTGTAGCGTATCGTTTGTTATCTAAGTTGGAATATACTTGACTCTCTAATTTGTCCGCAACAGTCATGATGACGCCTTTGCCTTTCAAAACTGGTAATCCTGTTATCTCATCCACTGAAATCGTACGCCAGCATTCACTAGGTGCTACAATAGGTATCGAATTTCCGTTCGCTCTCAAATTGCTAGTCTTGTAGCGATTACATGTCTCACAGGTTGAACCGTACAATTTAACATCACCATCAAGTTTATTGCAATAGTACCATTGTGATACACTTAGCTGTGCTCGTCGAGTTCCTATGCGAGAAAAAATTGCTCGAATCGTGAGCTTGCAATATAACTTCTCCTCTGAGGCTTGGATCGCTCGATACTCATAGTCTCCACACCTGGTTACTTGTTTTGAGGAAGTATAACCATTTTTGAGTGTAAAAGCGCTCTCTTCCTAACTTTTGGCGAACAAAGTGTCTTTCTCATAGGCCTCCTTGAATCGTTCTTTTGTATCTGCATCCATCCCAATTATACTGTATGAAGTCATCGTTGAATGATTGACAACATGACGCTGTGGTTTCTCAACCATTATTTTTGCTCGATTCCTCCCCTGAGAAAAGTGTACCAGGCATGATTTCCATGTCACGATCGGACAAGCTTGACATGGCAGCAACACGCTCTCTGTGGCGTTCGCAGTTATCTCTCGTTTGTAGCTTTCCTTCGTGCACGCATGCTTCTGGCAGATGTTAAAATGAACTTGCTTCGACGGAGGTCGTGATAGTGTATCCGCTACAACATTCAGCTTTCCTGGTCGATGGTGCAATGTAAAATCGAATCGACTGAAAAGTCAAACCAATCGTGTCAACTTTGACGTAGCCATCGCCGTCTTCATAAACCACTTGCATGCCGAATTGTCTGTATACATGGCGAAATGCGTTCCGTACAGATAAAAACTCTATTTTGGCTTGATAGCGTACGGCTTTTTCTCATGTGCTGGCCAGATCAGTTCATGTGGGCCCAGCTTCTTTGATTAAAAGATATAGGACGGTCGTTGCTGTCTGCACCTTGCTGTGAGACCACAGCTCCACAGCAGTATCCTGATGAGTCCATCCTCATAATAAATGGTCGATCTTAGTTTGGCAATTGCAACACTGGCGCTTGTTGCAATGCAATATTTTGACAATCAAGCTTACATTGCAATTGCAACACTGGCGCTTGTTGCAATGTAAGCTTGATTGTCAGAAACGCTTTACGCTGTTTCTCATCCAAACACCATGTCGAAGACGGTTCCACCAGATCACTCAGTGGCAAGATTAGCTTGGTGTAGTCTGTGATAAACTTTCTGTAATATCCTGCTAGTCGTGGAAATTCAACAATTCTTTGCGAGTAGTCGGCTCTGGTCATTTCTCTATGCGCGTATTTTCTTCGAGTTTACAATGAATCCCTCTTTTGATATAGTATGTCCTAGAAAATCCACTTCCTCGACTCTAAATTTGCATTTCGTTGGTCTTGCATACAGCTTTCCTCACCTCAATGCTTCAAAAATAATCTTCGAATGATTCATGTGATCTTTCATAGTTTTAGAAAGACACAAATGTCGTCCATATAAACTACTACAAAAGAAACATGTCAAAGAGACATCTCATGAGTCTGGACCATACTCCTGACATCCCAGCCATATCCATAGGCGCAACACACCATTTATAAACTTCGCGGTGCGTGCGAAACGCATTGTAGTTTCTTGCTTCTGGAACCACTAGCATTTGATGGTATCCCGACGCAAGATCAATCTTCGTAAGGTTCTCAAACCAAACACTCGATCAAACAGGTCTTCAATGTTTGGCAGGGAAATCTTTGTATCTCCGTTTCAGAGTTGATATGACGATAGTCCAATATCCAGCAAATTGGCGTGTCTGCTATCGCAGTCTTGAGCCATGTGGCACGAGAAAGCATATTCCCCTCTGCATCTCTTTTCGGCACTCCAAATATGTTTAAAATCCAATCACTATTTGACAATTGGATCCAACCCTTCTTTCCAAATTTCGCACAGACTTATCCAATGATTTTTGATCGACTTTCGGTAATCAAAATGTATTCTTCGGTTTCACTCCAGTTTTCAATGTCAAGTCAAACTCGACAACTCGTTTCGGAGGCAGTATATCGGGTATCTCATTATAAAACACATTTCGGAATGCATCCAGTAGTTTCTTCAACTCTGCTGGCATGGTCTATTGTACTGTACCCGATACGACACTTGTTTGTAGTGGCTCTTTTCTGTTCTGGCTTCTTTTGCCCTTTCCTATTTTATCCATGTCTACTTCTAAGAGCTTATTCGTTTTTTAAATCTATCTTCGGATAAACTCAGGAAACCATGGCTTTCCCAATATGATGTCGTATTCGTTCTCTCCAAGGTTTCATTTTATCGTAGGCAGATCCTTGAAAGTCCGTCCATCAAATGTGAGTGATGCGCTCAACTCATTTACCGTTCTTGTCTCGGAACATTTTCTATCAAAGCCTTCAATCCGACTTTCTTTGCTTCCAGCAACATTTTGACCAAACCCAGCTCGACAGAGTATGTCTGTTGCTTGGCAATCGATGAGGATTCTGAGTTGCTTTCCATTCATCAGTTCCATTCGGTCCATCAGCATGCAGGACTTTTCTCGCTTTTCGCGCATCTTTGCTTTCTCTTCGCGCGCTTTCACTTGGCTGGTGTTCTATCTGAACACTTCAATTACTTCCTCTTTTACAGAGACTCCCTCTTCCTTGCTTGCTTCTTTCTTGCACAGCCACATTGTTGTGTCTCATATACTCTTCTAAATTGTTGCTGTGCTTCGATGGCCTTGATTCCTTGTTATTATGACGTCTTGATTGTCTGCACTCTGCACCATAATGTCTTTGCTTCCCACAACTGAAGCATGTCTTGTTCTGACGAGTACTGTTTCTTTGCTGATTCACCCGTCTTCCATTTTCTATTCTCTGATTTGCATTGTCCATTTCAATATCTTCAGGTTCGCGTTGACTCAATCGTCTCTCTGATTTAAACCTCTGTATCTCTCGTTGTAGTCTTGATTTCGAAAAACTATGCGCTCTTCAAACCCTAGCGCTGTCTGTATGGCCTCCGTAACGGTGCTGCAATTCTTGTATTTCACCTCTTCTCTCGTACGCACTATCAATCCTCGATTGTACATAGCTATCTTGTCACGCTCTGACATCTCGAATACTTGGGTAAAATTATCCTGAATCCCCCAACATATGCCATCAAATCACTGCAATTCTTCTGCTTTACATTGAAAAACTCATCTCTCAATCGATCTTATAGATCCGCAGGCTCAAAATCCCGTCGAATTTCTTGCTCGAACTCTGTGAGCGTCTCTGGCAGTGCTCCTGTCGACTGCACTTTTTCCTGGTACCAAGGAGCGGTGGATCCTTTTAAATTGGCTGCCATCATCTCTAAACATCGTTGCTGCGTTTCTTTACTCCGCATCGGATCGATATTCTTCGCCTTGAAAAACTTATTCATTTGACGAACGTTCAAACCAACGCTCTCATCCATTCGTCCATATATATTGGCATCGAGAGTCCTTCTACTCTCATTTCGCTTCTCACTTCTCGCGGCTCTCTTTGCGCTGTGAGCTCTTGTTGAATTGCACTTTGAACATTTATTTGATCTGCTTGAGCCTCTACCAGAGCATTCAACACATGTTGTTGTTGATCCAACGCTATAGCCAATGATGCAAACGCTTGTTTCATTCTCTCTCTTCCATGCTTCTCCTTCTTTCACAACAACGGCTAATATTACTAGGTGCTTATAGCCACTCGCAATATCAACTACGTTCTTCCCACTGAGGTAACTTCTACAATAGAGTGGGTTCGAACATGTGCAGAAGATTCGCGAGGTAAGTCTTCGATGGGTCTTCTTTTTTTAACTGGATCGCTCTAGCCTTGAAACACAGAAGAATCACACAGTCTTTTCAAAAGTCCAAGAAAAGTAAACGCGATAGAGGCGGTCTCGGCGACGAAGTCTTTGGCTATGGCTATGGCGGCGACGGTCTTCAGAAGCAGGGACCAGCAATTTCAATCAAATGTTACGTGTGTGTGGAGTTGAAGGCAAATTGGAAAAGTGGTCGTGTTTCTCCTTGTCGTTCTACTAATTATGTACTTGTAAACTATCTACATACATATACCTTGCATTCTTATTGGGCCACATGTTCCTGATCTTCCAATCTGGTCATAGAGAAAACAGATGGAAGGTTTACGGCTTCTTCCACATTGATATTATTCCTTCTGGAATCTTCTCGAACTTTCTACGGTTTTAACTGGTAATCGCTAACTCTTGAGCCGTTATCTTGGGTAACTCGGTACACGTTACACCGTCAAGACATCACTCGTTACATCGACTCGGAGGAAAGGGCCCATTTATTTTCTACCGCCACGATGTACACTTCAAACAAGTTATTATAATAAGCAGATCCGCGTTAACCTAAACTCAGTATTTCTCATCAGATACTTTGACGACCCGCATTTGCATAGAAAGTTGTCAGCCAAGAGCGAAGGTGGCACGCAAAGCATAGCTACTCAATATTTACGCAGCTGGAACGTTTACGATAACCACAGGGCTGCCTAGGAGTTGGAAGGTTCTCTCTTCCTCTCAGATTTGCGCCTATAGAGCTCAAACCTCTAATACCCATTCGTCATTCGTGACACTCTTTGAATGAGGTAAAGTAGATGCAGTAGATGTCGGTAAGCCGCAACCGTTCGATGATCCTACATGAAGTAGTAACCGTTAATGCCTTCGGGAGAAACTCTGACGTCATTGCGGAGATGAGAGCTCATAACGCTTGGTCATAGTCCGCAATTTCTCGCATCCCTGGACGTGTGGACAAATCTTCAAGCAAATCTGATGCGCCTAGTTAAGCCATACGAACACCTTCGACTTCCGTCGATGTTAAGAGTGCATTTTCATCAAGTTATTGCGTGTTGGTGTCCATTCTTGTTTGTTCGGAGACCCCAAGGTTGACGCGCTGTTGTGCCGCTGAATTACACCGAATCTGTGACCATCTCAATTTCTGTAGTGGGGCTGCCGTAGCTCTTTGCTTAGAGAAAGCTAAGCTAAGGTCACCGACCTTACGTCCTTTCAAAGAACCAGTACAAGTAGAGCAGATCGCATCCCGCGACTTTTAAGTACTAAAGCCTTATTAAGGCAAACGAACACTTCTGTTCAAAAACGAAACTGTGATTCATTGTTTTAGTTGCGGCAGAGCCGCCAATATTTAAAACTATAGATTTTCCTAATTAATATAGTAGTACCTAATTAATGTGGCAGAACCTAAATAATAATACTGGTGATTCTGCCACGTGGTGGCTTCGCGGCCACACCACTGTGTTATTCCACTCACTGTGTGATACACGGTCCCAGTGTCGTGGCATACTCTACAGAGCTATGCGATATTATTGTTATCCATTGAGTCAACTGAAGTATTTACTTGAGGTTATTCGAGGAAGGCTACACAATAAGGGTATTCAGGTGCTAACTTGTAGGTACATATCTAAATACATAATTTTAACTTTAATAAAAAAACTGATATTTATAAATATATTCTACCCTGCTGTTTTGTTCCTTCCTGCTCTTAAATCTCTCTCAGCAACCTGTTAGGCCTCATTACTGCATATCAATCAATTTGCTCAAACTCTACACTATTTCGAACTCCTTTTCCAAGCCACCGACTAGTAATCTCGCCATATGTTCCATTCTAAAAATGTATTCGACTGATTTTTTTTTTTCGTTGCTAAAGTGGCATGCGATACGACGTGCATGACTGAGGGCACTCAACATGTAATCCATGTTATTGTGCTTGTTCTGCTTCCAGCCTTACATAATAAATCGCATTGTATGTAACACATACAAGCTCGCACGTCCTACAGCGCCTTACATAATGCTTGACAACTAAAGCGCAAAATTATGTTGGATTCGGCCAAGTTGGACGTACAATGTCATCGCCAAAGTTAGCCGCATCACTATCTGCATCCTTTGCACAAAATTTGCTTTTCCCGTCAGGGAAATGATACCAAACTGCTTGATTATATTTTGTGATACAGTAATTAGCATGTTAAGCTTGTTGTAACAGCAACATTTAGAGCTGGGACGTCAGTAATGAATGCTGTCAATCTAAATGGAGATAACACAACACTGGGAGCTAAGATTAGATCTGTTATGCTGAATCGGCATGAAGAGGTGACGTAACTTGATTATTTACTGTACGAGTTGCCAATGTACCGGCAGAGCGAAGCACTTCAAAATTCAAGCCAGAGCGACAGCTGCTCATGAAAATTATCCGGTCGGTGCAATTGACGAGTATTGTAACAGTTCCATTAAACTGCAAACAACATGCGAGCCATATTGCTGAGGCTATGAAGAGTCTGCTACTAGCGCGCAACAACTATCTGCTGCCTAGCCAGAATTTTTACACAGACTAGCTCTAAAAAATGACATGTATTCAAATTCTTTGCATTCCTGTACTCAGAGCATTTTCCAAATACGTACATGTACGGGTAGTCAGCACACAAAATCTGATGCCGCCCCCTCTCTGTGAGGTTTGGCCGATAGTATTGGCTAAAATCCACCGAAATGAATTGCAATACAAATTCCACCAGGACAGATGAGTGCAGCACATACCAATCTGCCAGCAACGAGGAGCTGAAAAACAGCTTACAAATCTTTCTTCTGGTCGGTATTCTTCCCATCCTTTCGACTTCTCATTAATAATGGACCATCGAACTAACCCGTATGGGATGCCTGCGGGTCGTGTGGGAATGCCTAACGGAATGCCACAACAGCCACAACCTGGTATGCAGCATCATTACGGCATGCAGGACATAATGTTTGATCCACTACCTATGAATAATGGCATGTACCACCAGCCGCCGTCAATACACCAACACGGAAACTTGGGAGGCCTCATTCAGCCTGGCATGGTGGCTCCAGAGGACGACCCACGGTTTGTGGATGATCTGTTGGGTGCGCTAGGGAGCGACCCGACAGGTCTTAGCGGTCATCAGCAACACCTTGGGCAGATACCTGGTCACATCTATGATCAGCCACACATGATGCCTCCACAATCCCAGACACCTGAGCTACAGGTAGGACGGACGCAGGGTGTTCCCATTGAAGCTCAAACTCCGCTCATGCAGCAAAGTGGCATACTCGGCTCCATGCACATGAATCCATTGGGACCAAATAGCGTTGGACATGGCGCAAGTATGGGCGTCGCTATGCAGCAGCAAAACATGAGCTCATCGGCAGTTTCGGGAGATATTGGAACACTTGCAAGTCTAGGTGCCCCCATTTCAGCGGCTTCTTCAGCGCCTCGACAGGCGGCCGTACCCCCCAGCGCCATTGTACCGACATCAACGGCGTTTAAATCAATGTCTAACTCGCGTGCACTCGCTACATCTAGCAACAATGGGGGAAGTAGTGACGAGGACGGCAATGAGGACGATACGCAGAAGAAGAAGGAACGCCGACGCCAACAAGTTCGATACGCATCGCGTCGTCGCCGAAAAAAACAGAAAGATGAGGAAAGTTTTTTGCGGGATCGTATCGCGGAGCTCAAGGAGCAAATCCGCATTATTGGAGGTGATCTAACAGAGCAGTGCTCTCAGATGGCTGGTATGAGCGAGCAGGCCCTCACGGAGGCGTATGAAAAGCAGATGCTAACGGTGCAGACATTACGCAAAGACAACAACAAGCTTAAAGAGCAGCTGTTACAGCACGAGAATTTTGCCCGTATGATACAGTACGGTTTGAATGCGCTTCCAAGCGACTGTCGCGATGTAGATCGAAAGAAAATTGCTGGTGTCCCAATGTGGATTAGCGACCAGATGAATCCTTTGAAGGGTCCAACACTGGTCGTGGATTTAAATATGTGTCACGAGGCTGTGCGCCACGCATATAACGAGCTGAAGTCTTTCGGTCCGACGGTAAATTCTAAGACGAATGTGTGCTATGCGATGGGGTGGAAAACGGAGCTTTGGGCTGCGAGTACGTGCCTGAACTTTCGTGCCGTGCGCTCTATCAGTGACAAAAATATCCGTGAGGTTGCGAATGCCTCATGGGATATCATCACATCTCCTGAGAAGTGCAAACGTATTTACCCTGATGTGAAGCAGTTTCGTATCTTGCAAAAAGTGACGGATGATATCGTAGTTGTACACCGAATTGCGTCTGTGGCGTCAGATTTGTCGGATCGCGAGTTTATCTCTGTGGCGTTTCGCTTGCGCGATGGCGATGACTATTATATCGGTCTTAAGTCTATCACAGTGCAGACAGAGGCTGCCGAAAACTGCATTCGTGGTGAGGAGTGTCAGGGTTGGATGTTTATTGGGGGTGCAGACGAGACGTCCCAATGGAAGGCGCATTTTTTGGGCTACTACGACGTCAAGGGTGAGAAGGACGACAAGGTGCTAAACCAGCTAGCCAATGAAGCTATGTTTGGTATGCTGCGGTGGGAGAGCGAGGCGATGCACCCACTCAGCGTGTAAGACAGGCTCAACCATCAACCTGTCTTTCAATGCAACCATTGATGCATCATCGTGCAACTGCGCCGACCGTGACATGTGCCGGTTGGATATTGCCTAATCTCTTTTTACTGCATGGTCATCGTCAATAAACCCAGTCTTAGTAGCAATCTTATTTTATATTATTTTATTTTAACCTGGTGATATACCACTGTTAGAATTTCGATCACAAAACTACCTTCGGTGCACGTTTTTTTGTTTTTTTACCAGGAGCTATCGGAATGTAAGTGTAACCTGCGTTGAAAAACGGAGCTAATATACTACTTTCTACTGGTTTTGCGCCAGTTTAGTATTATATTGTACTAGACTGACATTTTTCTTATTAGATTTGGAAATTTTCAAATCTAATTCATGAGGTTCTTCACATTAAACGAGGTTTTAAAAAAATTGCTGGCAGTAGTTAGAACCTTAACGCAAGGCTAATTAACTCTTCTCTTAAATTATAAACTGTATTTATTTGATTTATCTGCGGCAAAGCCGCCTAATTTTTAAGGCATAGATACTCCTAAATATATATAGTAAAATCTAAATACATGCATAACTACTGGCTACCTAGCTTCGTACCGTTTTCTTGTTTGGGTGCAGTCACACCACGTCCATCTTGTGTGACACCCCCCCCCGTTACCAGGGTATGTGTAACCCCATTACACTCTCCCCCAC